TTGAAGGTTTCACTTAAAGGCCGCTGAATTGATTTAAATGACCATTTTTTGAAGTCTTGCCTACGGTTAAATAAAATACTCCCAGAATCATTCGATGTGAACAGAACCATTCTATGTGAAAGATCTTCTGATTCATTTGCTATCCGCTGTTTCTTCCATTCAGACCAGTAGGAGTCCTTACATGGAGTCTTGTGTGATTCACCAGGGATGTTTTAAGCCACTCCACAGCTTCTTCCTTCATCTTTTGTAGCAACTCTGCAAAGGTTTCATAGTGGCATATAATGAGGGTTTGTGTGACTGTGGAGTGAGGGGAAACATCTTCTGAATGGGAGTGTGTGGATTAACAAAGTGAGAAAGCAGAGGTATGTTCATAATAGTGATTGATAGAGATAATAGCAGTAGTGGATGGAAAAGCTTGACCTTTTTCATCACTAATTCTATAGAAAAAATACACTGCATTGCTCTTTTTTACTGAATTGTGCAGAGGAAAATGAAGCCTTCAGAGCTCAAAGCCAGGACAGAATTGCAATGGGGAATGAGGGAAAAAACTGTCTGCCGTTACATTTCTTAAGGGTAGAATTTTATTCTGTATACTAAGTGTACTGAAAGGGCATGGATATTGACGCTGCATGTGGTCATCATAGAATAACTATTCTTCAATTTTAATAGTGATGAATACGTCTCTGTAGACCCTCATTGTATGTTTTAGTGACTGCTGTGTCTTTGAGGTGGGAGGTTTGACCAGTGGGAACAGAACATTAACAAGACTGACTTTTAAATGCCAAAGTCTAAGAAGGAGGGCTCAGTCTCCCTTCCCACCTCTTACTCATTGGTGCCCATTGCTGCACCGTGTCGTGCTGCTGGGAGCAATCCCATCTGATCTCTGAGCTTCCTCTGCTGGAATGGAGAAAAAAACTACAGGGTTTCCCCTCTGGCCATCTTGTTGAACACTTGCCTTTTATAGCCAGGCTACTCAGACCAACTCCTGGCTACAGGATTTGCACTTAAATATAAAGATGGAGCTCCAGAAGTAGTCTGTACTACTGAGTACATGTGGGATCAGGCATGGGAATCTTCACGTTGATCCGGGTGTCTCCCTCAGCCACGCGGTCTGAGAGTTTAAAAGTGAAACATCTATCAAAATCTCATTACTTTGGAGAGGGTGGGAGCGCATGGATTATAAACCTTATTTTTTATATCTTAAATTGTGGTGCCACATCCAAGCCATAAATTTTTACAAAGCAAACTGCTGATGCACTTGAAAGACATGAATAAGTGCTCTCAGCACCACGGCAGAACTGTTCAGGGGGAGTGAGCAGGTGCGTGGGGTGAGGCTGCCAGAGAGTGCTGATGGCACACTGCTTTTGGAGCTGCTACTCCTGTTGTTTTTGCAATAGGATGCCTGTATTTACTCGGAGAAGAGGAGGGGAGGTTAGTGATATCGGTTCCTGCGAATACAGGCACTCCCCAGTGACTGAAAGGGAATATTCCTGGATCCACTGAAGATTATTTCACTCCCGAGTGTCTGCTAGGAGAAAGACATGCCTGTCTGCTTTCAGTTTCGTATCACAAAGTGCTGATTTATTTAATAGTGTCAAACTTCTTCACAGTGTTTGAGCACGTGCTCTGAAAGTTCTGCTCTGCGGCGTAGGAGGCTGAAATGACTCGCCGTGTACAAGGCAGTGTTTTAAATTGAGCAGCACTGAACAGCCTGATCCTGCAAATCTGGGACTGTGCAGTTTGTTTCACAGAGCTGGATCCTGCCAGTTTCCGTGTGCTGTTTAAGGGGGAATCTTTTCCGCTGAGACCAAATGCTGTTGGGGCTGAGAGCGATAAGCCCCTTGAATCCTTGTTAGATAATGCCTGTACCTCCCAGGACAGCACCCAGGAGACTTACTGAGTGATGATAGCACTCATGTGAGGCTGGGTTTTGCTCTAGCGCAAGGACAGAAAGCTCAAAAACTGCAGCAGAAAGATTTGAGAAATAAACTGAAGTGAAATACAGCCACAAAACCTGTGATGAGAGCAAAGATGGGGGTCAGCACTTAAATAATGTGGTATGAGAACTTCATTAAGCGTATCGATAACGGTTGTGTATTATTCTAGTTTTGCCCTGCTCTGCTGGTACTGTTCACGCTGTTCTTACATACGTACTGTTCAGGTACCACTGGACTCTTGCTCCAATCCAGTTAGAATGGTGCTGTTTCCAGAGATGAGGTACCTAAAGTGAAGGTGATGTGGATAGATAGTGCAAAGTACATCTTTGTTTTCAGGTGGGGACAGCCTTCCTATGGGGCAGGATGGGGCTGTGCCTCGTGCAGGGGCCAAGCGGGCAGTGGGGCCGTACAGTGTGTGCTCAGGAGTCAGGAAGCTTCTTTTGTTCTGTGACAGACCCATTCTCGCTGGGCAATGGGAAGAGCCAGTGTGACTGCTAAAACAAGAGTGGAAAAATATGTATCTGGAATATGCATTGCTTTATTCTGCCAAGCTGAGTGTTTATTGTGGAGGCCAGACACATCTGTCCTCCTCCAACAGATAGCATGGTGTTTCTTGGATTAAAAAGCCCAACTGTAGTGGAACAGTGGAAGAAATTGCTTCAGAAGACTGACTTATTGAAACTCTATATCATACTGGCCCTGTCAAAAAAATATTAACCACCGTAAAAGCTGATACAAGAGGAGATGAAAGCAATATTGCTTGATGTTGTGATTACCTTTATGGCAGCGTGCTCAAGGTGAGCAGTGGGGAATTGACACCTTTTCTCATTTGACCTGAGCAGTCAGTCTGATTACTTAAGAGACTTTTTTTGTTGTTGTATCTAATAAAACATCTGTAATAAAAGTTGTTGAAGAATAGTTTGGGAAAGAAATGAAGACGTGGATTGCAGACAGCTATTTAGGTCAAGGGGTTAGGCTTTTGCCAGGCTCCAGATGGGGACTGAGCAGAGGACAGGGGCTGGAAGCGGTTCTGAAGCTGATCCTGACTCCAAAGCACAGACAATAAGAACAGCGTTGAGTTGGGCCCCATGAGATACACCTGATCAGAAGCGTGGCCAGGGAGAGATTAGTAAGTGCATTGTTCCCCATGTGTTCTGTCCTGAACGATTGCAGGAAATGCAAATAACAAAACTCACGACACCATCGTTGCGCTTTCATCCCCTTGCAGATTTACTGGAAGACCTTGGAAAACAGCAGCTTTGGCGAAACAACTTAGTTATATCAAGGATAAGGAATTCTTCCTGGAAACCTGACAGGCACCAAATCACTTTCTTACATGTAGTTCTGTCAGTTACTTTCCTGGATGTCCTCACACGGGCTGTGGGCAGTGTTACGTGCATGGCATGCCTTAACCCCAAGCTATCTCCCCAGAACTCCGAAGCCAACCTCCCTCCATGTGTTTGGCTTATTTCTGAATCCCTGGGAGCCGGTACTGGAACAACCTCTCCCAGTTCAGGTGCCCTGCTGGTGCCAAGCACGTGGTTCTGTGCCTCGTGCCGTCAGCTGTTCACCACATCAAGAATGAAAACGCTGAAACCAAGAAGAATTTTGCATTTGTTTTCAAATGGACCAGGGTTTGCAGTCCTGGTGTTTATTCAGTATTTTTTTTAATGCTGATACGGCGCAGGGGAGGTGGGGTGGAATGGTAAGTTGTCATGGCCCATATAATGCAGTGACAGTCTGATATCTAGTAATTTATACTCAGCACTGATTACCACTAATGGGCAAAATGAGAAATTATAACTTGTAATGTGTCAGATTAATTTGATGTACATCAAGTACATATAAAAGCCATCAGATGCTTAGCACCTATGAGATGGTGCTCGCCCATTATTTGTGGCTCTGGTTGCTGCCATCATCAGAACTGATGTCCCTCTTCATTTGTGTAGCACAGGAAGGTTACATTACAAATTAACCTAGAGAGTGGCCCAGCAATTCATAAATTATACAGGCTTAAAAATAACCCTGTTATGAAATGGGACGCGGTGGAATACAGCAGTATTGCAGCAGCTTAGTGGTGCTTGTTCAGAAGTAAGCAAATTACAGTAATTTGCCAGATAATAGCGAATATTCTGGGCCCCAGGTCCTAGAAAAGTGAAAGGAGATTCTTTCTATGTTCCCTTCCAAAGTTGTGATGCCACAAATAATTTAAGATTTCCTCCAGGTTAGAATATTTCTGCATGTCAGACCCCTTTGAAGGTTTCAATAGAGTGTTTCTGAGCTGTGACATGTACTGGCATGCGTTGAGTACCGTAGTTCATAGCAGGAGTGGAGACAAGGCACATTCCATCTCCCAAGCAATTGATTCACAGGTGTCCAGATCACAAACAGCCACTAAAAAAACGCCTTCTGTTGTACTAAGCATTAAAAACTGCCTTTGCCAACAATCTTAGCAAGAGAGCCAGCGAATGGTCACGTGAAGAGCAAAGTCTTGGTGCTGCCTTGCAAATCCATGTTCCAAGATAGTACTGGGAAAAGTGCCTTTTTATTCCTTGTGCTGAAAGTCTTTCCTGCATCACTTGTACGGTTCTGCATCCACTCAGAGCATATTTTTAAAGGATATTGAAGGATACATCTGCACAGCATAATGGCAGCAGTTACTGAATTCTGTCCTGTTCCTCTTGCCTTGTGTGAGCTGAATGCCTGCATCTGAACAATGCCACATTCATAAAAGTGAAACCAAGTTTGCCATACTGGTGGATCTTTTTTATTCGTGTATAAGAAATTGACTGAGGTGGTCATCTCTGCCTTAGCAGAACGAAAGGAGTGAGACATGTCCCATGAAAGGGGTAACAGGGTCAAGAAAAGCAAGGTAACCTTATCATAGAATCATTGGAGTTGTAAGGGACCTTTAAAGGCCACCTGGTCCCACTGCCTGCACTGAGCAGGGACACCCACAGCTCCATCAGTGCTTACATCCCATCCCCTGACCGTGGGTGTCTGCAGGGATGGGGCACCTCCACTCTGGGCACCTCACTCAGCTCCTCTGCTCTTCTGTTGCAGGGCACAGCCTCTGTTCTGCAGCGCAGGTCTGATAACGAGGAGTATGTCGAGGTTGGAAGGCTTGGTCCATCAGATTATTTCGGTAAGAAAATTCAGCATAAACGTGGCTTAGAAAAATAGCAACTGGAATTGCATGGAGTAGTTGTTGTTTTAATTAGTGTTCTACTCCTTAACGAACATGGGGCTGTGCCTAGGTCAGCTTCTGCTTTCAGCGCTACTGAGAGATACCATGGAAGCTGAAACTATTCCTTGGTTTACAGCAGTGTGGCTGACAGGAGACAGATCCAGAATCAGCAAAAACAGTCTGAATGCATTTGTTTTCAAAGGCATTTTACACGCATGCATTATGCATGCGTCATGCATTTGTACTGTCAACGGAATTATGTCAAGTGTCTATCAGGATAACATAGAGCTGTGTTCTACAACCGAAGCAACTGCATGGTGGCCTCAGTATGCACCCTCCGAAGGAGAGGAGGTGTGATGGTGTGTTTGTCCCCGTCCCCAGGTGAGATAGCACTGCTGCTCAACCGGCCCCGCGCTGCGACGGTGGTGGCACGTGGACCCCTGAAGTGCGTGAAGCTCGACCGGCCCCGCTTCGAACGAGTGCTCGGCCCCTGCTCTGAGATCCTCAAGAGAAACATTCAGAGATACAACAGCTTCATCTCTCTCACTGTCTGAATGATTCCTTTTGGAAAGCTGCCTTTGTGTGACCTCGTGCACTTACATTAGCTCCGTGCAGCTCCATGGCTTTAGCAAGAAAAAATAAAAGGTGTGCATTTCATGTGTATTTTTTCTGTTATGTCACGCACTGGATGTCAGTTCAAATCTTATGTATCATTTAAGAAAGAAGACAACTGTTTGGATAGGACTAGCTTTGGGAAAGTGCTCAGGGAAGAGCAGGCTTTTGGCTTGCAGGCAAGATTTTTACCTGTTGCTGGATCGTACAGATAAAACTGTGCTTTTAACTATTTAAACTACAGACAAATGTCTCTTTCCCTCACTATCTCACAGCTATTCTCAAAGCCAGTCTTACTCCCCTTTTGTCAAGCTTCTTTGATAAAGTGATGTCCCTCTACCTGTCACTCCTAGCAGACTTTTCACTGGTTAGGGACTGGAGGTTTCCAAAATCCACGTGGTCAGTGGCAGTTCTGCGATTAAAGAGGGACGATTAGGGAAAGATTTTAATCATTCCAGTAAGCTGAGGAAAAGTAGGACTTTTGAGTCACTTTGTGGTTTAGAAACAGGGGCCATTACTGCTCTGTGTTACCAGCCCTTTGGGTCTGCTTTGTAGCTCTGAGGAGATGCCAGGGCAAACAGACAGCTCCGGGCCTATGGGTGAGGCGTCCAAGAAGCAGCGGTTTGTCAGATGATGGATGGAGCCTTTAGGAGCAATGTTATCTGATTTCTCCCTTTTTTACATGGGATTCGCATCAGGTTCCTTAAATGCCACTGAGAACTTCTTCACTGAACTAGGTGTGCTTTGAAACATATTTATCTGCACCAGAGTGTCCTCAGCTGCTGCTCTGAATACTGTAAGGAATGCTCAGGCGATGGTGGCAGGTGTAAAGCAGCAGTTTGATAGGGCTCTTTCACATGAAGTCCATTTAATTCATTTCAAATGCCTTTTTTTAGTGTGCAGCCAGCCAAATATGTGCTCCGAAGTGTTGCCTCCTGCAGCAGATGTGCATGGCAGAACAAAAGGCACCAGGAGTTGCAGCAAGCTCTGTGTGCCCGCAGCCTTGCTGGCAGCTCTTGCTGCTCTGTGCAGATGCGGGTATCAAGCAGAGCCTCTGCAGAGCTGGACCTTGCTCTGCTGTGCAGCCCTGCAGGTTGGGATCATCCAAATTATTCTCTGGGGAAGCTTTTCCTTTGAAGGAGAAGTTTTCTGTGCTAACTGCCGCAAATCTCTGCATCTCCACTACCCTAAATAGCACTGCCCACCTTTTAGTTGCAGCAAAACTGTATTTCTTCTTTACGATAGCACCACTCAGAGTAAATAGGAACTTTCCATACCTTTTACATGCCAAAGGCTGTATAATGAAACGAGGCAGCAATCCTCCTTCTGAAACTATAGGTGTTAGTTAAGAACTTGTCTCAAATTACCCACACTGACATGAGCCTTGGAGTTAACAAAGCCCACCTGGCACTGTCCTGCTGCCTCCCAGCAGAAGGCTCTCGTGCTGCCCACTGCTGCCACTGCAGTGGGAAGGAGCTCCCAGGCTGCAGTCAGAGTCCTCTCACCACTCCAAGGTGCTTAATTTATTTCAATGTATTTCCAGCAGCCCTGTCAGTGTATCTCAGTTGCTACTATTTATTATGATTACGTTATGCTTCTTGCACGTGTTGTTAAATGCGACCATGCACATTTCTCAGCCTTGCAGTTCTGTGACATGCATCCACACGGGCAGATGCCCGTTCTATAGGTCAATAAAAGTGTATGCGTTTGTAAAACTTCTAGTTTTCTTCACTGTTTTTGTATTCTCTTGTGCTGCTTTTAAGACACGTTTTTAAAGGTCACTCCTGTATGTTATTTAACCTATTGCCGTTCTGTTGTACTCATAACGAAAATTGTGAGTGTTTTGCATCATGTGCAAGATACATTCATGGTTACTCACCAGGTTATTAGCCTCACCACTTAGGAGTTACTTCAGCACACACACAGAACAGATTCTTTGCTTTAAACCTTCACAGATCATGAAAATACATCTGAATGACCATATGAGCAAATTCAAGAGAAGTGTGATCATTCAACGCCAGGCTTCCTATGCTTTAAGTGGAACAAAATGATCTTCTATGACATTTTAAAGATAATTGTAATATTTGCAGTGGATGATGGGATAGAATTACAGTATGAATAAAATTCTTCTACGTTATATGTGGCCATTGTGGGTTCATTAATACTGGAAGTCTGCATGAATAGAAGTTATGTTCTAGTTAAAATCTGCCCATCACAGAGAGTTGGAACTCTGCTGAAAATAATAATCAGATGCAAAGGGACAAGAAATAAACCGAGCATCCCAGCGCTCTATATATAGTAATGAAAACCAAAATGGAGTTCTGGGAGATTAGAAAAAAATTCTTGTGTTTAAATGTATCTACAGGGAGAAGCAGGGATTTGGGGTGTCTCTCAGCTCCTCACGTTGCTGCATTAGGACTGAGGGGCTGAGAAGCAGCGGTCAGCACAGCACATTCAGTGCCCCCCACCTGCGGGCACTGCGGGCTCTGGGCTGCCCCAGTGGAGGTGCTGGGGTCCTGCTGGGTCCAGGCAGGGCTCCTGGGCGGCTCCCGGAGCGGGGCTGACGGCTTGCTGTTTCTGGAGTGTGTTATTTTCCCCCTTTGCTGTGATTCAGGAGGGAAGGACTCATCTTTCCAGAGATTACTCACGTTATGTAGTAATCAAAAGTGACCACTCTCTCTGAGGTCCTTCCAGATGGACATGACCAGCCCACGCTCCCCAAAAAGGGCATCTCACCACTCCTCGCTGTCTTTCTTTTTTCAGTTGGTTTTAATTGTCTCGCAGCCATTTTAGGACTCCAAGACAAAAGACAAGACTTTCTTTTACTAGAAACTAATTGCACCTCCAGGTTTTTTACAAGACCCATTTGGCTGACCGCATTTTGGTGAGCGCAGCAGATGACTGCATGCAGTGCCCAGCTTTCCTACCCCTCTGTGGCAATGAGTGCCCTCAGCTGTGCAGTGCTGTCAGCCCTACGAGGCCCTGCTCCCCAGGCAGGCACGGGCTGACCCCGTGGTGCCCATTTGGGTGCTGGTGGAAAACAGAGAGCAGAGAACAAAGCAATACTGATGCACGCTGGCTGCTCTGTTGTTCTTGCAGTAGTGATCTTCGGAAATGGAGCCATGCACAGAGGGTGAAGGTTCACAAGAACATGTGGTTCTGAAGCTCCAAATGGTTCAGAAATCCTTTCACTGACCTGTCTGTGGAAGAGATTGTATTCGTATATGTTTCGGTATAGCAGCAGAGAGAGGTGATACAGAGCAGACAGAAAACTACAATGCTGTCCTTGAGAAGAGCCTGAGGTCCTGCGGTGCATCGCCATGCCGTGTGCATGCAGCTGCAGCGCAGGGGGGCACTGACTTGGCGTGGCACTGCTGACACACCGAGCACTAAAACCACACTGGATACTGCAGAGTTCACCATTTAGAGTCAGAACTACCTAACACGCCCAGGCATGCTTTTTAGATTTGTTTCCAACGATTTGGCAACTCTGCCTGCCGTTCATTTCCCCCTTCACATGCGCTGGGAAGCTCAGAGGAGTGTTTTCGCAGCCAGAGTGGCTCCTGCAGGTCCCGCCGCCGCCTGGAGAAAGAGAACACGGTAGGTAGGAGCATGGCACAGCCTCGCAGAGCGGACGTTTGGGAACACGCCGCTTTGATGCTCCTCTCACAGGGTTTCTGTGCAGGCGCTGCTGCCAGCAGGGCTGTGTCGGGGATGCAGCTTGCACAACGAGCTGGCCTTTCCTCTGACAAAGCTGCCTGGCCAGAGGAGCTGGCATCTGCAGCCATCTGGTATTTTTGTGAAGGCTGAGGATGTTTTTTGTGCTTGATCCAACTCCAATACCAGAGTGATTCTTTTGAGCTCTAAAAATCTGGATGCAGCTTTTAGAAAAGAGGCTGCGCTCTGCCAGGGAGCACAAAGTGGAGTGTGAATGTCTCACTGGGCTTGCTTGGTCTGATCTCAGGGTGCACAGGTGACTGTTGTGGCTCTGAGGCCCCTCCCAGGACTGTTTTAACCCTTGTTTTCATGTTGTCTTCTGCAATAGTAGCACAGAGGATCTGCTGCACACAGCCAAGCTGTAACATCCCCGTTGTCCAGCCCTTGTGCAAGCGTGCAGAGTTCTCTTTAAGAAGTCGTGAATTCTCATGGAGGAAAAAAAAATAATAATCATTTTAACAAAAAAGACTGCTCCTATTCCAGTATAAACTGTCTCCAAACATGGAACAGTGGCGTGCCATGCTGCTCCGCGGGCCAGCAGCACTGAGTGAATTGGCAGATGCTGCACTCCTGCGCGATCTCTGGAAGCTCCCTCCCTTCACGTCTCAGGGTCGCATCCCCAAGGCTCCGTTTGCAATGAGGTGCCCCTTGGCCAAGCCCCTTATGGTGGGAGTGCTGCTGAGTGCTGCCAGCCCACGCCTGGCTGGGTGAGAGCTGCCTGTTGGGCATGCAGGCTGATGATGAGGGACTTTCTCAGCACTGCCTGCAGTTGCTGGCTCTCTGGATGTTCATACTGCTGGCTCTGGGGAAATCAAGCCTTTCTGGGAAGCGGCTACTCCCTATCCTCTTTATACAGACAATGCATTGTTATTGTTTGAAAGCACTTTTGTATCGCCCTTAGACTACAAGCATGGCAATTGTTCAATTAGAAGACATCATGGTGCATAGCAGTGAAATACGACGTACAGTACCATGCAGTATGTATTTTCCAGATAAACTGGAAAAACAGTGAAATGGATCTGCGAAGTGGGGGCACAATAGCTGCTTTACATTCCTCCACATGTGTGGAATTTATACGCTACAGAGTGACTCTGTTTTGTTACCATGTGTTTAAGATAATCTGATGATGGGCCGTGTTTCTGGCGGCTCTCACTTTCACAGTTGTGTTCTGCACACAGAGTAGCAGAGGCCTCAGCTTGAGCACGGCCATGAATTAGTGCAGGCTGAGCCCTCCCACCATTTATTTCCACTGCAGCAGAGAGAGAGAACAGACATAACAGCTGAGAAACACTACAGGCCAGTTCTCCTTCCCATCCAGGGGCAGCTCAAGCAATATGCCAGAGCTGTGTGGCTGCTGTTGCAGACTGTGGGCTCTTGGGTTGGGACTCTCCCACCTGGAGGTGCTCCCTGAGCCCAGCAGTGCTTGTCCACGCATCACCCTCAGCCTCACACGTAGAAATGGCAGCAGGAACCGCTGCTGAAAGGGAATCTGCATCTGCTGGTGCTGACACCTGCACCGGGGAAGGTGCTGCTCCAGCCTTGCAGCTCCTGCTGGCAGCACCATGCCGATGTCCTTTGGGCCGCGCTGCCATGGGATGGTTCCTGTCCTGGATACGTGTCCTGTGCACCATCACACCTTCTGCTGTTGCCTTGTGTTCTGGCATTCAGCCTGGGGCTTAGCTTTTAGAGAAGTAAGAGAAATGGAGACCAAAGTGAGCAGGGCCTTTTACAGCCGCTTTCCAGGGCAGGAGAAGGTCCTGCAGCATCCACAAAGGCAGCCTTGTGCGGGAGGGAGATGCGGCACAACCTGTGTCCGGATGAAAGCTGCCCTATCAAAATAGCCATAAACAAACCCGCCTCCTCTGCTACAGAAAAGCTGCTGTGCCAGGAGCATATTAAATTGTATATGCTTTTTCTCAAGGCAAAAGAATTGCAGCAGTGACGGCAGCTGTGCGTGCTGGAGCTGAGCCACTGCATTCAGCTCGGGAAGGCCTTGCTGAGGGCGGGGGGAAGGACTCCAAATGAATGTTTTATTCAGAGGGACCCACACTGAAATGATCCGCTGACACCGGGGAGATGCAGTCAGGAGAAAATGGAGGTGCAGGATATGGGGCCTGAAAGCAGTGTGCAGAGAGTTCCGCGGTTGGTGAAGGCTCAAGGCAGAGCCCTGCAGCCCTGTCCATGGGGAGCACGTGGCTCTGAGCAGCCAGAGAGCCACAGGAGCTGTGCTGAGATCCGAAATCCCCATGAGCTGCCATTTCCTTGTGTGCAAAGTTGAGAGGTGGGTAAAGAACAGGAGGCGACTTCCATCCACCCCAATGTTTAGAAACATGAAGAGAACCAGCAGCGTGCTCTCCCCAGTGACATGGTGCACGGGGACCTTACACGGCTCCGCCACCAAAACCATCAACTCAGGAAGGCCCATTTCCATGCCAACCGCTTGCAGGTGCCTCCCCAGGAAGGAGAGTATCCTCAGCCATGCTGCTCCAACACCACAGTGAGGACATGGCAAAGAGGAGCCCAACACGTTCCATTACAATCAGGCCCCACAGCATGGATCTGAGGGAAGGAGATGTGTCCGTGTTGCGATGCAAGCAGTGCCCGAGATTAAATGTCCTCCGTGTCTGAGTCCATTCTGTATCTGAAGCCACTGTGTGCATAGAGCTAACACGATTCAGTGAAAGAAGCCCCTTTCGGTGCTTTTTAAGCAGATTACAGCAGATTAGCTGACTAATCTACATGGAATCCTCTCTCCGACAATGTCAAACTGTAAACACATCCAGCCACTTTTGTAGTGCCTATAAATATTTACCTTGGATTTTATTAAGGTTAACTTCAGATGATATTTGCAATAATGGTTTTGCTCAGCGACTCGGTGCCTTTGGTAATGCAATGCCTTTGGGAAGATGCACCTTCTGCAATGTGTGGTGTAAGGCCAGGTGGCTGCACACAGCACAGAGCACGGACACAAACAGGGACCTGTGCATCATCCTCTGGTGCTGAATGCAGCTGCCTGGGATTATCATCACACGAAGGCAAATCTTCCCTGGAAGATGTGATGTTGTGTTAAGGGCTGGCAATTTGCTGCTATTTGCAGTTGGATTGTTAGAGATAGAAAAACTCAAAAGCCCAAGCAGGTCCACTTCTGGCAGCACCCTGCAGCCCCAGTGCACAATAGTGTGTTGGGGACATCCATCCCAAATGCAGGGCTCCTGCCTCTTAGGATGCTGTGCCCACAGTGCCTGGGTCAGGGCTCTGGCAGCCCACAGCTGGCCTGCACCGCGCCGGGATGGGGACTGTTGTGTCTACGGGACAGCAGAGGAATGCTCAGTTTACAAGACAATGGTTTTTAGGAAGCTGGGAAAACTTAAACAGCCTTCCCTGATGGAAGATGGTCCCTTTCCTCCCTTTGTGTAATGA